AGGTAACAAGCTGAGATTAGGAGCACTCCCTTTAAGAGTGTGCTCCTAATCTCAGCTCTTTACCTGTATAAAAGACACCTGGGAGCCATAAATCTTTCTGATTGAGAGGGGGTCAAATACTGAATTCCCTCATTAAAATGCAAATCAATTTATAACATTTTTGACATGCGTTTTTCTGGATTTTTTTGTTATTCTGTCTCTCACTGTTCAAATAAACCTACCATTAAAATTATAGACTAATCATTTCTTTGTCAGTGGGCAAACGTACAAAATCAGCAGGGGATCAAATACTTTTTTCCCTCATTGTAAGGCCCACTGAGCAATATAGCTCTTTTACAGAAGCACCCTAGCCACAAATGATAGCTCAAGGAAGTGGCTTATCACGTGGAAATTTATAGCAGCCAAATACTCCAAAGACACATTTCTAAATTTGGAGGGATTAACGGGAGGACCCGGAGAAAAATCCACGCGACCACGGGGGAGAACACACAAATACAGACGGGCAGAATCGAGATCGAACCCACGACCTCCTGCACACCAGGAGAGGTTAACATCTCGCCACCGAGATGCATATGCGGTGATTAACACACATCCACAGCATCTGGTGATGGTCCCCCACCGACTCCATTCCTCATTTGGTTGGGTGATTTTGAACCTCTTGTATATGTAAATGTGTGTCTGGCTTCCTGAAATAGGGGGTGTGTTGGGGATTTGATGGTTGTGTATGCATGGCGTTGAACCTGCCTTTTGGAGGGACTTGTGCAACTATTAAATCACAAAGCATTGTCATATGGTGACTGTAACACTTGGGCTTTACTTTGTCATGATGGACTCCATAAACTTGAAGGCCACTGGGACATACAGAACAACGATTCCTAAACTTCCCGCATTCATTGGCTAAAAGCGCCTCACCACCAGCGTTATTAATGCCACCTTGTAACTGAAACTATGTAGTGGGGTAATATTTCAGATTTATGGCCTTTATTTTCTTAAGAATTATTTCCGAAAAATAATCTTCACCTCGCATTACACTTTGCTGTAGAACAAATAATGATTTGCACCCATTCAAAATGTGTTTAAATTACACAGTTAATGTCCCTATTGCTTTTGCAATTCGATTCTCACTGCCGTTGTGGTGCATGTAGAATCCATACATACCTGTCAACCCATAAGGTTTACCCATTTTCTTGTAGAAGGGAATTGAGTTTTCAGGTCCATACAGCATGCAACCTTTTCAATATATTTTTATGTATTTTTTTGTCTTATTGTTTGTGTGTCTCCCTTGTGATGGGACTTTGTAGGATGAACTTTTAAGATTTATAAGGGCACGGGGTGACCAATAAGGTCTGAATTGGTCTGTAATAAGGTTGGCACTGATAAACCGTTGACAGGTTGGTTCATTAGTGACTCCAGAGTCTCATAGAACCATTCACAAACAGCATTACGTGAATTTGAAAATCATTTGTCACACGCACAAATTGAGACAGACTTTTTAGTTTTTTTTCAGTGGCGCCGAGGCGTTCGTTCCCCCCCCCTCTGATTTTACACCGCTGCCAAACCGCCGTCCCATAAGTTGCGTTTAAGTTCAGCGACCCCTTCTAAACCGAGTCCTCGCGTGCTATAGGCTCGGCTGAGTGCTGGAGGGCGGGCAGAAAACTCTGAGTCTGTGTGTTTCAGAACACCCTGTGGGAGTTGGGGTGAAAGGCTACTTGCTGGCCGGGAGGTGTGCCCCTATTGCTGTCAGCTATGGCCAGTACGGTTGTCCTCTGAATGCAGGAAGGAAGCGTTAGTTTCACTGTGCTCGTGGACTGCACGGATGAACTAACTACAAACAAAACTGAGTGTCTTCGCAATGCATGTTCCGATGAAGTATGAGAGGTTTTGTTGAGTTATCGACATTTATTTTAATCGGGATAAGCACGAATCATCGTGCAGATCCCGCAATGCGCCCTAGGTTACACGAGGGAATGGGCCATTTTGTGCAGCCGCCTATTTTACATAAACAATTATGTATACGTAACAAAAAATGCAGTTTGTTGTGCGATCCTAAAACCCCCCCATTAATTTGCATGTGCGTATTGTTGACGTGCCCTTGGCCGTTGCAGTAGCAGGAGATTTGAGGAGCCTCGTTTGCGATGTTCGTAGCAGTGAGGCCATCATCATCCTCCTACGCCGGTCTCGCTTGCGACTCGGTGACTTGTATCGATTCAGCGGAGAGAGAGGTTGTATTGGTTATCCGCTGACTTCACCATCTGAATATAAAATCTGGCTGCATTATCCAGAAAGCGGCGCGTTTTATTGACATCGTAATAAACTGGGAAATGCCCCATGTCGGACGGCCGCCGTTCGTCGTGCCGGCTTCACCGCCTCCACTCCCTCTGGGGTTCGACTGCGATAATTCCTGCCGCAGACGACGACTTCCACGTGTAGTTTACACAAGCATGTAAATCGAAGCAGAATTTGAGTTTCATGGGAATTACTTGGCTCCATTTTGCCTATTTGAGAGGGAGGCAAAGGTAAGGTTATTATACACGTGTTTATTTTGTGTTTGTATGGGATGAGAAAGGAACACACTACAGTACTGTGCTAGTGTTGATTATATTAATAACAAAATTGATCTTTTGTGACTTCCACGTCGTTTCTTTTCAGTACTGTACACGTCGTTAGCAAGCTCGTTAATATTTAATGTTTGCTCGTTGAGTCGTTTTTTGTAATCTGCAGCCAAATTGTTTTTAAACAGTAATATTTTCAAGCTCCTGCCTGTCTCGTGTGTGTGCGCGCATATCTTTTCTTTTCTCCGTGTGTTTATGGAGAGACAAAAAAAACCTTTGTATAGGATCTCTCTCTTGAGTGTGCCTTGCATTTGTGAAGCCCTAGCAGTCGGCGAGGGTAAACTGTACGCATGGCATCTGTAAATTCCCTGGGTGTGGCAGTCCTGCACGCGCGTTTGCATCCACAACCACAAGTCCTCTGGGCTCGAGCAAATTTGAAAAGGCGTGCAGCTTCGGCTACCGCAGGACCCCCCCCCTCCTCCCATGCGTTCCTCTGTATCTTGCTCGAAAACCTGCAAGGTAAAAACAACAATGCGCTAGACAGTAGGGATTATAATTGGCCTCGGTTGGAATGGTGCAGTGAAAGTGGACAGACGGTGGGGAGAGGGAGAGACACTGTGTTTGGCTGTGCGTCATACAGTGGGGATGAGAGAGGTACGTTCTTGTGAACAATGCAGTGTGCCGCCGCGTACGCTCCTCTGATTCTATTTTGTTGATGCAATTTTATCTCCGTGGGTTTTGCGCGTTAGCGCTGCTATTTTAGGCTTTCCGGCGTCTGTAGAAACTCGGTGGTTATGCCCTGAGCAAGCTGTGACGATACGCGTCCAATGCTCGTGTTGAGTTCATTGCGTCGGCACCACCCAACCCTGTGGGTGCCCTCTCTGTACTTGGTGGCCGGCACATGCTGTGTGACTTTCGAGAGTTTGAGTTGGCGGCGTTGAATGGGAAATGCAGATTTAAGTAGAAACAATGGGAGTGGACGTTACACATAATTTTCCGTGTATCATCCAGGCGGCCGTCTACCCAGGAGCAAGGTCCAGATATTTACACTATCAGGACTGTTAACAGTTTTACAGCTCCCTGGTTCACCTGCACATGCAATAGAGGAACCGAGGTCATTGGTGACCAGCACATCTGAGGGCCTTTTATTATGCTTGTTTACTCAGAAAAGCCTCACCGAGTCCCATGAAGCTTTTCCAGGAGGGTCCTGCCAAGTTTTTTACAGTACGTGTTGATGTTTGCTGTGATGTATAATCCCAATTGAATAATCTGCGGGTGATTTTTCAAATTTGGAAAAATGTGGACCGTAACGCTGGCACGTAATGGCCTACTCTTGCGAATGACGGCATGAGGCCTTTAACATCTCCTTGTGAAGCACACGGCGCGTATACTTGCGGTTCATACACCCACGGTATTCATCTGGGCTGCCTCTGGGTTTGAACCGTGAACTTTAGCGGCAAGCGGCGATCGTGCTACCACTGGCCCATGTCACCCTCACCTGGGTTCAAACTTCTGATTACCATGACAGAAAAAGGCTCTCATGCACATCAAGTCATTAATAACTGCACAAATGCAGTGCATTGCAGCTGTACCCAATTATTTAGGGCATAGATATCCTCGTTAAAATCATAGCAAAAGACATTTCACCTGGACTGGGTAGGAGAGGCTCTTTGATTTCACACCAAGCAAAGCATTCACTGGTTATTCTGTAGTTGTTCACTTCCAATTTATGCAACTTTTCTCTCAGTGTGAAGATATTCAGTGATAATATGGACAGTATTTTATATCTGACACATTCATTTCAGAAAATAAATTCCATTGACGCTTCAAACATATGGGCCTTCTGGGTCAATGTATTCTAGTAGTTTAAGTTTAAATAGGCCAAACCCTAAGCCAGTTTGAACTTCACTGAGTCTCATTAGCAGGGTGTGGCCCAGTGGGCCCATAACACTGGTTTTTAAATTTTGTTTTAATATAATTTTACCAATAACTATATCGTAATCGTGTTCAGGATCATTTTCTAGCAAACGCCCACTGAAAATTACTTCTGCAGTCACTTCATTGGCTTCTTTCGCAACCCTAGATACAGCCCTTTTTGTGCCTTGCAAACGATTGTTCATTGCATGGAAATCCAATTCAAATGATAGTCAAGTGAGAAACCAACATTATCATGCTTTATTATCGTACAGTTATTGGTGACCATGCTAAGACAATTGCAACACTTGAAAAATGTTTTCATCCCAGGTACCTGTAAGCCACATCCAAACCCAACAACACCTGAGTGCTGTATCTCTCTAACACGACCAAAAATCGCCGCTTGAATAACCGGACGGCAATTTCGCCGTCTCCGAATTCAACCTGCGCAGCTAAAACCCGCGGAGCCATGCCACCGGATCTCTTTTTTTTGACGCACGTCACTGACGTCCACTTGTGCTTTGCCCCCGGCAGCAGTCGCTGCCTTCAGCCGTGCCGAGACCCCTGTCGGCGCCGGGCTGCACCGCTCCGCCAGGCTCGCTGCAGACGAAGCTCGCGGGTCCCGCCGCGCACGATGCCCAGTCTCGTGACGCGGACATGAGGACCGAGGACCGAGCCGCGCGGGACCGCCGTCCCGACGACCGCCTCCTGACGCAGGTCAGTCCACCGCTCGCGCGTGCGCATTTTCTCCCCTCTACGTCGCTGTGACCTTCCATTTAGAGGAAGATGTGGCTCCCCAGAAAAAAAGAAATTTCTCTTAGGGAGTATGTATGGATTGAATGCTGAAATGTGCGCAAAGAAGCGTGGGTAGGTGCTCATTTGTATTGACATTGAGAAGAAACTGACATATGATGGTTAAAATTTGCAGGTTAAAGACATAACTAAATAGTAACTGAAATGAAAAGTAGTAAGTGGGCTTTGGCTGGACACTTTGATGGAAGGGTTAATGACCGTGTGGTCAAGAATGGTGACGGTGTAGCAGCTAAAGGTTGGAACGCATCCACGAAGGCATCGACCAAGGAGATGGAGTGATTACATCAGCTTGCCTGCTGGATGGATTGTTACCAGCGCTGGATTGCAGGAGATGATGGCTGCTTGGTGTGACCTTCATCCAGCAGTAGATTGACCATAGCTACTGATTTTGATGTGTATACAGGCAGTCCCCGACTTACGATATTTCGATCTTATGATGGCGATAGCGATATGACAAAATTGAAAAATATTTTACATTTCGCGCGGCAGGCAAACGCAGCAGCGTACGAGGTACGATACTGTATGTTGGGACGCTGCCGGGATGTACTGTACGCATCTCCCGCCTTGTGTGGTGATGACTCACTCTCACCAGCGGTCGACAGAGTTAAGTTGTCTCGGTGTTCAATGCATGTTCAAAGTTTTTTTTATAGCAGATAGGATTGTTTCCTGAAAAACAGCAGTTCATATAGGTAGGCTAAGAATTTACCTTGTTTTTTACTTTAAATTGTACTGTGCAATACAGCATTGTAATTCATAAATACATACAGTATATAGTTTATACAGTACGGTACTGTAAATTGCTCTCTTTTGCTAAATTATCACCATTCTTTAAGACTCCTGGGTAGGCTAGGCCATCTTCGACTTACGATGGGGTCGTCGTAACGCATCTCCATCGTAAGTCGAGGACTACCTGTATTTGCCTAGTGTGCATGTTTTAAAATCACCGTGGGGATTTCTGTTATAGGACAGTAGCGACGTTATTGTGGCGTCAGTGATGTCACTTGATTGCGATAACGACGTTCCTTTCCGTAACTTTAAAGTCTTTTGTTTTCTCATTAGCGAAGCTTCAAAGTTGTGTCAGGCAGCCTGGGACACACTTGATAGATCTGTATCTGTTTTTTTGGATTGCATCTTCCTTTTATGAGTAAACACTTGCTAAGGTTTAAAATCTTTTTTCACAACCTAACCTAGTAGCTAACCCTAATTCTGCCAAAGGCCCTAAATATAAATATAACCGTAAGCATGCATGGCTCTTAACCAAACATTGGGCAGAACCCAACCACCAACCCTAGAAGTCTTAACATAAATTTAGCTCTCGCATCGGTTTCAGGTATCAAATGAATGTTATGATTGGCGAGCACCAATTAAGCTTGGGAGCCACTCTGCCCCGAAGAGTCTCGAATTTGTTTCGAGCAGTTCAGGGAGAACTGCTGTAAAAAAGTGGCCGTCACCTAAAACGTTCAGGCTGCTATAGATTGTGGCTATTATCAAGTCACAGCCTCTCCCTGCTCTCACTAGCAATGGTGCGGGTACTTATGTCTGTCAGCACCCACCCAAGTAAAATTGGAATTCCATATTACTATGGTGGGAATTACCTGATCCATAACTGGAGCACTGTAAACTTTCTACAAAGTGGTAATAATGTTATGCAGCCTCAAGGATTGACATGCTGAGCCGACACCTGGTAGGGATTTTAACTCACAACCTTCCAATTGTGATTTGAGCACTTTTAACTGCAGGACTGTGCAGCCATATTTTTATGTTATTAGGCAGTGTTAATGAAAAGGCGTTTGAGCATATGCTTGCAAACCTGCTCTCAATGGGGTCTCTTTAAGTTTTAGTTAAACATCGGCATGCTTTTTTCACTGTTCTCGGTAAACACTGGGTATTGAATACAGAAGACCTTGACCGTCACGGCTGGAATTCTGTCTGTGTGGTGAACGGAGTCACACGCACAGCAAAGACAAAGATCCCCCATATAGCCTTAATAAACTGTTGGGGCAAGTGCTTTTAGCGAGCACCTATGAAGGCCGGCATGGCACACAAGATGGGTGAGTGGCCAGCACCATACCCGGCCCCCTTTGTCTCCCCAGTGCTGATATTTTTACATATCGCACCAGGTACTCATTTAAGGCTAAGTCGACCTAGGGGGAGGCCCAGGACTGGTTCAGATAATCTTCCCAGGTGTTGTCCCTTGAGCGGTATTCGAACTCGGGTCCGCACGCTTGAAGTGCAGCGTGCAAACCGCCACACTCCCATAAGAGTTTTTGTTTTGGGTTATATCGCATAAATATATAAACGTGTCGTTATTTACGCGATCTAACCCAAAAAAACTCTTATTATGGATGATATTGGTCTCGAAAGCCTACGTGTTAAACTGCCACACTACCGCTCCCCACTCGCACACGTGCGCAGTGAGCAAACACACATGGTAGCCTCCGCAGTGGGCCTGTCTTTTGCAGTGTGCAGTGTTCTCTGCTGGGTAACCCCTTCCGTGTAGGGCGGGAATTTCTGCCCCGTCAGACGGGTTCCAGGTGCTGGCCCTGAAATGTTGCAGGGCTCTTGTGTGTCTGTATTTGCATAATGTAGTGCAGGGCTTGCGTGTATCTGCAGCACGTGAATGTGCCATGCGTTTGCATACGTGTACATGCATGCATGCTTGCACCTGTGGTATAATCGCGTAGTGTGGTTTGATTTATGTTCTGGGTGCGTTTGATTAGAAACAGTAGTGCCTTGGTTAAATCATTGTTTGTTTTTTTTATATTGTAGAAACTGCACATCCTTTAGAACGTGACCGTCCATCCATTCCCCCCATCCAGCCAGCCAAAAAAACTTGTAATGTTTTATAGAGCCCTGTCTCTCTCTCTCTCTTCGCCTTTCTCTTGACTGCTTTGTACTGTGTGTCCCAATTTATCTCGATTTCTCACTTTGTCTCCGTTTCTAGCTGTTTATAAATTCCTCTCTCCCCTCTTTTACCTCTCATTCCCTCTATATTCCTCTCCTCCCTCCACACTGTGTCGCACCCACTTCGCTCCCCATATCTCTGTCCCTGTTTCTCGCTCTCCTATTTCCCATCTCTCCCTGTCTCAATCTCTCTTGCCTCTCCCTCATTCCCTCTCGCACTGCTTGTCGCTTTCCCTCGCTCTCTTGCCATTTGCTCTCTCTCTTTCCTCTCCATTTCACACCCTTTCACTCTCTCCCCGCCCCTCTCCTATCTGTTCCTCCCCTGTCTTCCTCCCTCCTCAAACTCTCTCAATCACCTCCCTCTGTCTCTTGCCCTCGCCTCGCTATATTCCCCTCCGGGTTGTTGGTGGGGGGGGGATGCTTGACGTCAAGTATCCCCCCCCCCCACCTGCCTCAGCCTGCGGGTGACCACATCAAGCAGATGTGCGCGGTGACGTCACTACTGCACACGCGTGCTTCTGCGTCAGACTGACAGGAATCCACCCAGCAAAACTTTTTTTCTGAATATCGTGTGATAATTGTAGTCATTTTTTGTTGGTGGGTCTTTTCCCTTCAAAGGAAAAGCTATTTTTTACCCAGGGCTACCAATAGAATAGAGTACCACCTCACTCTTGCTTTAGTAGATAAACACATTAACTTTAATAATAATAAATCAAGTTCATGCGTGTCTAAATGTCATCATTGCCACCACTATCATAGTCATCAAGATCAGTCGTCATTGACGTCTCTATCACTCTTACAGCAGTTTCATTTTCACTGCTTGATTTACATAGCTATATCTAATGTGCTCACTTCCTAAAGAACCATTGTTCAATGAAATGGATTTCATTGCCCCTTCGATATGTTCATCTTATCCCTAATGGGTAGAGGTGAGTAGTGGTTGCCCTGTGGACAGTCACGTTTAATTACAATAGTCATTAGCCACATTGTCTTTAATATTGTCAGCAAGTTTTTCCGAGCATTTTTACCACTGCCTGAGATTCTTCAATGTAAACGACCTTTACTTAAGGCTTATTTGAGCATGGCAGCATCAGATATAACAAGATTTAGTTACCGCTTTGACTAGCAATCTACATTTTGTTTTACTTGTACACCACTGCCAACGCAGATTCTATAAACACCACTTAAATTTGACCCTCAGTGCATCTTTTTGCCCTCTTATTCTCGCTGCATGCCATAAAACCACCTCTTCTCCTCCTCTTCAACCCCCAGACCCCCTCACACACATCGCACTACTCGCGCGGACACGAGCAAGAAAAATGCAGACGGCTCCGCTGATGCGCGTTCCGTCTGCTCCCCATCTCCCTCCCTCTCCGCTCCCCGCAAAAACAATCCCCCCCCCCCCCCCCCCCTTTGATTAACGGCACACGCAGGAGCAGGAGCGCAAGCAGGAGAAGGCGAACCGCATCGTAGCGGAGGCAGTTGCGCGTGCCAGGGCGCGGGGAGAGCAGAACATCCCCCGCGTGGTGGGGCCATCGGCCCCCACGTCCACTCCGATTGGAGGCGGCACCAGGGGCGGCGATGGCACCGTCAAGAAGAGGGCGAAGAAGAAGTCTTCCAAGCCCAAGGACAAGGATGGCAAGGGCAAGGGCCACTCGCCGGCGTCCACGAAGCTCAAGAGCAGCAAGAAATCCGGGTGAGTCGAGTGATGTGGATCGCGACGGGGTGGTGGGGGGTGGGGGGGACCTTGTTTGTGAACCGAGAGCAATGCACCTCCAATTAGCAAGGTTGGCTACGTACGGCGGGAAAAGAAGTTCAACGTACTAGCACTCCTGTACTTACGAACTTTCAGAGATACGAACAAACCTGTCCATATGTCCAGTTGCCTGTTCGGACCAATAGTCGTAAGTTCAACCGCCGCGCAATAGATGGAGGTGGTCGCATTCTCATCTGCAGAACGTGAAGAACCAGTGGCATCTGCAAGAGATTGTACAACTTTTAAAGCCATTCCCCGTGTTTAGTGTACATGTCATACAACATGTCTGGAATCGACAGTAGTCCTGGACTTACGAACAAATCGACTTACCAACAGACCTCTGGAACCTAACTCGTTTATAAGGCAAGGAGTCCCTGTATGTACAATTATGGTCGCAAAACCGCTCATCATGTAACCCTATAGAGAAGGCAGGTGGTGCCCGAGAGAGAGTCTTGAGATTCGGTGAGGCCCTCCTGCATAAGTAAAGGGGATTTACGAGTGTTACCGTAATGAGGCTGCAGAACAATGCGAAGCAAGTGTCCAGCGAGTTCAGCAGCCATTGCGTTTCCCTGCCAGCAGAGGCATGGCAAGCTTTTGCAGCAGCATTGGCAAATTCTGGCTGTCGCCTGATAAGGCTGGTTTTAATTACCGGCGAAACGTCGTACTCGAATTGTAAATATTGTGGGTTTTACTCTCCAACACACCGGTGTGCTGAGCTAGCAAATATTTGGGACGTTTTGTTTACGTGACAACTCTTTTTAATTGGCTGTGTCGGGCGGTGGAAGGTTTAACGACAAATTTGTATTTACGCGATCTAACCCAAAATACCTATTTTGGCATGGCAAGTGCTACCCGTGCATTCGTGCAGCAGGCAAGTACAGTGGGCCCTCCAAAGATTATTGACCCTAAGGGATGGTGGCAAGTTTTCACACTGGAAAATAGCTAGGCATCTTTGATCAAACTAACCAGGGGCCCCCTCTTTCAGTGGGTCTCTCTTTTAAAGCCGTTTAAAATGTTCATGAGAATGTACTCTTAAGAAATCGGCCAATCGTTTCCCCAAATTATGAATATTACAGTTTACCTTCTGCTGCATGGCTGTTATATTTCATATTAGAATGAATGCTGCTTTAGCTGCAAGTTCTTCACATTTTCACACCCAAGTGTCAGTAGTCTTTTAGACCCTGGTGCCGAGAGCCTGTGCAATGAATTGGCGCCTGCTACACCCTTGACGATGAGAAGGAAGGAGTGGAACAGCTGTGTGTAGGTTGCTGTGCCTTTTTCGTGTGACCTCGTGGTTCTTTGAATTGGAAAGCGGTACTGCCCGGTGTAAGGCGTGTCTTCGCCCAGTTTCATTCTCCACATGCAGCCAAGGGAAAGACAAAGTCTTAAGTCTTTAATGATCTCTGTCTCTTCCTCCTCAGCTCAGTGCAGCCTTGGAATTGCCACTTAAAACACTTGCCTTATCGTTTCTGTGTTTGAATACAACATTTTTTTATTCCAATATTTTCAAATGCATTGCTGAATTCCGTAATCACAACAGGGATTTTGTTCAAAATAATTCAGGATACAGCATGAAGATTTTGTTTTTAGAAATATTAATTTAAAAGCATTACATTTTTTAAGTGTGGAAAGAAACACATGCTGATGGTGGTCAGTGACTTTAAAACAGGCACTTGTTGAAGGTCTTTACAACACCAATGATACCTGCAGTACAGTGGCGTTCACTCGTGCTGCACTGTGGCAGTGATTAACTTTATTTGTGGAAGCTACACAGGCTTCCTGGGGTTTCACATAAGTTCAGCATACTCACCCACAGGTCAGTATACTAAACTAGGCCTTTTCTGTGAAATCGTAAGCACATGTCTACATAGCTCAAAGTATTTGAACTGATATCAGCTGGTTTAATTGTTCTAGGAATAAAAGAGCTTCAAGTTAGAATAGACTAGAGTCCGGTAATCAGGGCTTGATTTATCTGCGATGGATTTGTGTGCGATCTACTCATGGATCAGACACTGCATGGAAACCGCCTCTCGCTTGCAACTTTCAACTTGCATGTATGTTTGTTCAACTTCTTTCGCACCATACGTAGCCAATCGTGCTAATCGGACGTGCAGCGGATGGACAACAAACTAAACACAAAAAGCAGTTATAAAGAAATTCGTTTTAAATCTAGATTTAAAAGTGCATAGCTCCGGTGGCTTCCTAATATCGGAAGGAAGAACGTTCCAGACGGCTCCAGAAACGCATCTGAAAGTGCACAGTGCAGTGACTGTCTTTGTTCGATGGTTAGCCAAAAGCCACTGCGACAGGTGACCGGAGTTTGCGTGATGCTTTATGCTCTTTGAGGTCAGCAAGGTATTGGCACGGCTTCACAACAGTCAGGCCAGCAAGGGGCCCAACTTGAGTGCCACGGACAATGCGAATTGTAACCACGTGTTATAGAGAGTGGCAGGAGCAGGTGAGAGTGGCAGGGTCGACACGGTTTTATCACATTCATATCCGTGAGCCTTTTTGAATTTGGGTTGTCTTAGATTAAGGTAGTGTATTGCAGTGGCTGGGTGGCTTGGGAGCCTGTCACTGTTGAGTTATTGTCCAGGTTTCAACCACTTCATAACTAAACCGAGTTCTCAAATATAGCGAGTTGATCGCCTCAACTTGGTCACCGATGACTTCACAAAAACCGCAATGTTTAATTTGGTGTTTACTTAAGTTGGCATATGTCCCTCGCTAATGACCATCCAGAGCATTTGAGAAAGTGCTACACCTCGATTGCAGATGCCGTTGAGAGGGGCATGCTGGGACATCTGTGAAAAAAGAGCTTGACAGCTCATCAGATTGCTCCAATCTAAAATAAAAGATTCTGAATATAATTCTGGTCTCAGAAGTAGTTCTACACTATCATCTTCCAGGGGCCAATCTCCAAAGCGGCGAAGTTTCAAAGTTTACCATCCCAAAACATGACAGAAAAACATGACAGGAATATGATACGGGGCGGCGGGGGGGGGGGAGTCATTGTTTCCTTTATCAAACGAATGATGGTCATCGCTCATATTCATTGGCAGCCTTGAGCCATTGGTAAAAGTAACACATTCCCATGGAATGTTTTTAAACGAACCCCATACCTGGAAGAAAAGCACAAAACGCACACATTTAGGGTCGGCAGTGCCTCCTCACCTGCAAAAAGCCACGTCTCAGTCGTGGCATTACTCCCAGTCCGTACCAAGCATCCATAGCCAAGGCTACGGTGACGTCAGCAGCACCATACCCCCACCCCTAGCACCATCGCCAATTTAGACTACCGCTATGTGGGGGTGGTCCTGACACTCCAGTGGGAATGCAGTGGTTGTTGGTAAGTTCTGATTAGTACCTCTGAGACATTGACAAAGCACATAGAAACACCACCAACTTTTGCTTCTAGATTAAAAAGTCATTCTCGATTGAAGACTCTTTAGAGCTGCGTTTTGTGTCCAGTTTGTTGTCCCTACCCCCCGCACCTCAGATTGGCACGGTTGGCTACGTACGGTGCGAAAGAAGTTCAACATACATACGTACATGCTTCTGTCTAATTTTGTACTGAACAAACATGTACCGTAAAAAAATGTAATCGCTTTTATAGAGTGGAATTCCATTTGGTAATTAGTGCTCGGCTATTGATACATAAACGAAGATGCAGCTAAAGAGAATAGAGTTTCGTATGGCCCCATAACACAGCTCAGTATAGTAGTGCAATTCAAATCACATAAGGTTTGGCTGCAGGAGTGACATCTAAATGCCCGCTGGTGTACAGTGCAGTACATCTTTGTTTTCATTAAACAAAAAAATGTCCCAAGCCTGTGCTGTACTGTACAGTCGTGCAGTATACCCTATAATGTGCCGCATGATGCTGGATTCATACTCCGGCCTTTGCACGCTCCATGGCGTGCATTGTGGCACACCTGGTGTAGCGGCGTTTCGTGTGTAGGTTACACAACCCAGCACGGGGAGTGTGTTGTTCATGTACTTTTCTTAAGACGTGCTTCCACACTCTCGTGGGAGTATTTTATTTATGGGTGCACCGAATAGCACCTTTGACTTATTTATCCAGATACAAAATACCTTACGCAGGTATTCTGCAAATCCAAATTCGAATCTGAATATATAATTTATATTTTATGCATTTTTTTCAGTCAACTGGCCATTCTGTATGACTTTTTGTCTTTGTTGTTGTCATCCTCTATCTCTTGTCTCACTGTCATCCCCCGTGTCTGTTTCTTTGTTTCTCCGTTTCTCTGATTTTCTCGATCCCAACATTGGCCTTTGTCTTTGTCTATATCTCTCTGTCCGTCTCTGTACATCTCCCCATTTCTCGTTGTCTCCTCTGTCTCTGCCTTTTTGTCTCATCTTTCGGTCCCCGTCTCTCCATGTCCCTCTTTGTCTTTGTCACTCTCCCTCTTCTGTCTCTTGTCTCATTTCCCTTCATCTCTCCATCACCACATGCTCCTGGCAGGGCTTGTTGTTGAAGCCTTCCACCCCACCTCCACTGCGACCATGGTGGTCACATAACCACGGCAGCCTGCCTCGCTCAAACCTACTGATCAGCTTCATATTATTTTGACCGCTTCAATTGTGTCCAAATAGACACAATAAGAAACCAGCAGGTATCGGTCAATTAACACGACGCACGGCACCTGGCATGGCTTCTCCACAGCGTGGATGAGCAGCACGTGGATTTAATGGTGCTCCACTGGTGAGGTTTGTGGGCTTACCAGTTAACGATAAAATGTACTTCCAAATTCGCATTTGGATGTATAATCACAGTGCTCCAGTGACATCACTGCTTCAGTCCATTAAAACATATGGCAGTGACGTCGCAGTTATGTCACCAACCATTCCTTAAGGGTACAGCTGATTGTCATACAAAATATATAATTGTTAACGTCTCAAACTCACGTTAAACAGCT